CCTGGTTTTGTGCTGTCCCATGATGGTTGCTGAATGACTTTGTGGAGCATAACTGCACATCCATACACCTGCACTGGGTGTCAAAGTCTAGCCAAGTCATCGCAACCATGTGGTAGAGAAGGGCCTGCAGCACAGCTCAACCACAATGCTAACTGGCACTCTGCAGAGTAAAAGATTAAAAATATTATATTTGCATATTTCAATCATGAAAAGTTCATTCTGTGGTGGAATTATCAGTACCTTATAGTCTTTTTCCTTAGTTGAAAAAAAACACTTTCCCTCAAATTGTTGTCATTTGCTATTTAAGCGAGGTTAATATTTAATGAAGAATCCTTTTAAAATGACCTATCCTCGGATTCTGTAAACTCCCACAAAGTAAAAAGATAAAATTTTCATTATAATATCATCTCTGACAAGCAGTAAGATTCATTAAAAGCCCCAAAACCAAAAAAGAGGTAATCCCACCAGCACCATGCAGTGATTTCTCATTAGAGGAGATAGTGAAGTATTGCAACAAGGAGATTAATAGAAAGAATGTATGGATTCTTACCCTACCTCCTTGCTGATTTACATCATGCTATGTAGTTGAAACAACAGGGGAAAATGCAAAAGCTCTCATATGATTAATGCTGAAATACAAACCCTCTGGTTACTGTCGATTATATATTCACAACAACACACTTGGGAAAATGGCTATAGAAGCACTTTCTATTCTGTTCTTTTTTGTCTTAAATCCTTTCTATATGGGTCATTTCAGGGACTCAAATTTATTTTTTATGGTAAACACTGTTTCTCAGAATATACAATTTTTTTTTCAGAAAACCTTTCTCCTTCTAAAATTGTATATTCCATCTTCTTTGCTCTAATGTTGAGATTTCCTGGCCCAGCACAAAACACTAAGATTTAGGCAATGTTTATTTCACAGACTCATCAAAGAGACTTTTAGGGCTGGGAAGAAATCTTAAGGATTATCTAGCTCAACTCCCTCACCTTATAGACAAGAACACAGGGGTTGGGTTGCCCTGCCTGACTTTACCTTCTGCTTTGCCGCATCTGATAGAGCAAACTGAATTTCTTAAGGAGGAAGAAGCATTACCAAGGTAACGACACAGTGTGTGGAAAAAATGGAAGGATGGATGACAGAGAAAGATGAACATCCTTCCTCTGTAAACAGATAAATGAACTAGAGGTCATATCAGGTGGGCAGAAACAAACAAACAAAAATAATAAGAAGGGCCGTTTTTTTCTACCATTTTAGCAGCTTCAAGTTTCAGCTGAGTGAGGGAAGGATGCTGCTGCATCCGCAGGAGGGAGAAGAAGGGAAATGTGATATGAATAGGCAGCCTGGCTCACTGCATCCCTTCCCCTCTGCACTTCCCCACCCCAACATGGCCTCTCTTTTGTGGCAGAGAGGTAGGGACACGATCCCCTGTTTTTTAGCCTCAAAATTCATAGATATAAAAGGTCTTTCCTCAGGGCCAATACTACTTTAGACAAACTACTAATTGCTAAGGATTTTTAACATGTTAAATATGCTGATTCACAAAGCATATCTACATAGAGCCACACACTGGGTCCTCTTGGATAACTGGTTCCATGTCATCTTCCTATTGTTGGTATTTAGTAATGTATACTCTTCTATCCCAACAGAAAAATTAGATAATATCATCAATTTTAGGATATATCTTTGTTACAATCCTTACATGTCCTTCTCTCTATTCCATCACCAAGATCCTATACTGTGTGGAATAAAGAAGTAGGGAAAAGAAATTGGAGAAATAATACTACCCTACATTTTTGGCAAACAATATATTTCAGAGAGTGTTCCAGTACAACATCTCACTTTATCCTCACAAATAATCCTTTGAGGTAGTTACACTGGTATTATTCTCCATTTCACAGAATAAAAAATTGGATTCTATACACGACCAATAAGTAGACAGATTTGTTGGAGGAGGGCAGAATTATGGAACTGGAAGGCATCTAGTTCAGTTTTCTCAATTTGAAAATAGAATAACCGTGGTCTAGAGAGGTTAAACAGGTGACCCAAGGTCATATGCTTTAAGTTTAGTGTTGGGATGAGATGGCCATCTGCTGATTTCTAGCCTGCAGCTTTGTCGCCATGGTGCTCCCTTTTGCAAACCAGTAAAGATGTGTTCGAGTAGATGATGATATCCACTAACTGATGTTAGGCCACACAGTTTTAATTTGCTCCTTCTCCATCCCATCTAAATGTTCAGACATCAGGACACTTGAGAAATAATAAAAAGTGATCCTTGGGTGTGCAAGTTTAGTGATCAAACTGATCCAGCACTATTCACTTGGTAGAAAAAAAATTGAATAGTGCTGGAAAAAGTTCTTTGGGAGAAAGAAACGTTTGGGAGTCAAGAAAGTAGTGGGAGCCAGGTATGGTGACTTGGGCTTGTAGTTCTAGCTACTTGGGAGGCTGAGGCAGGAGGATTGCTTTTGTCTAGGAGTTCAAGGCTGCAGTGAGCTATAATTGCACCACTGTGCTCCAGCTTTGCAACAGAGTGAGACACTGTCTCAAAAGGAAAATAAAAATTTAAAAAGGAGACGGTGATCAGTCATACAAGCACAAGGACCTCTTCCCCCACCATGTGGTCTGGCTTTGTAACACGTACAGTTTACAGCAAGAGAATAAATATAAAACTCCTACAACAGAGGAGAACCCAAAGCCCCTCCTTCAACTTGCTTTCTGTCATGGCATCTACAGATTAGTGTCTCCTTAATACTGGATAAGAATCTCTGAACTTTTTCATTTCTCTTGTTTCTCATCCCTTTCCGGCCTTTTTCTACAATAATCTCCATTCTTTTTGTTTGTTGTCCCCTCAGCCTCTTTCATGTCATCTCATCTTTTCATATATACTGTTCTATCTGCAACATACTGAAAGCGTAAACTAAAATAAACACAAAATTTTCCAAACTGTTTTCTGTCCTGCTTGTTCTTCAAGGACCACATGAATTGTTCCTTCCTCAAAATCTTCCCTGCAGAAAGTATCCTTCAGGGTTTTTTTTCTTTCATTTCCTCAATATCTACAGCATTTATGGTTTGTATCACTCATTTGGCACCTCTCAGATGTAGCCTCTTATTATTCATCTGTTGATCTCTGTCCTGTTCCCCTAACAAAATGATGAATTCCTTTCTGAAAGGCAGAAACATATGTCTTCAGCATCTACCAATGTGTTCTACACAGAGTCTGTTATGGTTGATTCTTAGTATGAACCTGGTTTAGTTTTGAAGATCTCATGAGTGGTTTGAACTTAACAACACCAGATGCTATAAATATTTTATCATATCTGAAACAACATTCCCAGTGTTCAGAATTACTTTCCAGTTGGGTATGCCCAAAATCATTCAGGCAAGAGTTTTCATTTCAAATATTATAAGCTCTATATAGCTGAACAATGTCAGGACAAGCAGATTTACTATTTCCCTTCATATAGTTTAGGTAAGTTCTCTTCATAGAGGAGCAAGTTGCACCTTCTCATGCAAATAAAAAAATTATCATGGTTTAGGCAAGGCTTTCGTGATAATAATTACAATAATTACTGGGTCCCTATTATGTATCAGGCACTGTCCTTAATGTCTAGTAAACCCCTATTATGTACCAGACATTGTCCTTAGCATCTGGTAATCGCATGAAATTCTTTAATAAATACTATTATTTTCTACATGTAAAGAAACTGGGCTTTAGAGAATTTAACAACTGACTCCAGATCACACAACTAGTAATTTTGGAGCCAGGATTAAAAGTATTTAGTCTTACCTATAATAGGAGCTTTAATAAAATATGTAATTATGATGATAAAATACTTTCCTAAACTCCTCACAGTTATGTCTTTTATATTTTTATGTAGTTGGATATTTTGTTAGACTGTATATTGCCAAATAATCATATGAAGCAGTAACAATAATGTTAAATAATGTTACTTCAAATACAAAAGAAAAAAATTTTGGCATAATACATAAAATTATTTTAACTAAAGCTTCTGGAACCCGGTACATACGTCCCCTAACTTGCTACAACAAACCTATAAGGCAGGTATTACTGTATTATTATAATATACATGATGCTGTAAAACTTGCAATAATCTATAATGAAAAAATTATGATAGAATCTAGTATCACTTGAAAGTTTTTTCACTTTTTGTCCATTTGTAGAAATTATAATAAAAATTATAATGGACTCTAGTATACCTGAAAAGTTTTTTCCACATTCTTTCCATTTGCAAATGTAAAAATTTCATTTGATAATATATCATTAAATATTGTATTTATATAAGATTTTTAAATACTAAAAAAAGAAATGTTAGTTGCAATCTCTTCAAATATATCTTTTCAAGCAGTTCATAAAGTATGGTTACATTTACGTCTGATAAATGCATTCTGTTCAATGAGAATTTGATGCAATTATTTTTAAAGTCTTGAAATAAATGCTCAAGGATTATTGATCTGAATCACATCAACTAATGGTTTAATCAACAGGTCACCTACAAACAGCAATATGAATTCATTTGATATACTGCTGTGCTTGCATTGCAAAATGATTTATTTCTTGCCCAGACATAATTATAAAACTGTAAGAGATGTTCAATCATACATTGAACTTTTCTAAGAATTTCATTAGACTTTGTTTTTTCACATTAATTGAAATGTTCTAGAGGATAACCTACATGGAACCAAATTTTAGTATAGCTGTGGTGCCTATAAAACAGGGAGACTTGATCTTGTTAGTATAAATACCATAAATTACTGGCTCAGGGACCTACAGTTGTGTTTTCATATGCCCAGAATCCATTTAGTAAATTCCCTTTGCCAATTCACTTAATGGCAGCACAGCACTCTCAAAAAATTAATTGTTAACCAGTCTAAAACATTAACAATTTATGCTATATACCATTATCCTCATTTTATTGAAGAAAACCCTATTGCAATTTTATGGCCCTTTGATTAATGCAGTATTTCTTTTTTAATGCAGGCAAATGGTTTAACTATGGAATTATCTTCCTCGTCTTGATTTTGGATCTTAATATGTGGAAGAACCAAATATTTTATAAACCTCATGAATATGGGCAATATATCGGCCCAGGGCAGAAGATATATACAGTGAAAGACTCAGAAAGTTTAAAAGATTTGAACAGAACCAAGCTATCCTGGGAATGGAGGTCCAATCACACTAACCCTCAGACTAATAAAACGTATGTTGAGGGAGACATGTTCTTACACAGCAGGTTCATAGGAGCCAGTCTTGATGTCAAGTGTCTGGCCTTTGTTCCAAGCCTGATAGCCTTTGTGTGGTTTGGATTCTTTATTTGGTTCTTTGGACGATTTTTGAAAAATGAGCCACGCATGGAGAATCAAGACAAAACTTACACTCGCATGAAAAGAAAATCTCCATCAGAACATAGCAAAGACATGGGAATCACTCGAGAAAACACCCAGGCTTCAGTAGAAGACCCCTTGAATGACCCTTCTTTGGTTTGCATCAGGTCTGACTTCAATGAGATCGTCTACAAGTCTTCCCACCTAACCTCGGAAAACTTGAGCTCACAGTTGAACGAATCTACTAGTGCAACAGAAGCTGATCAAGACCCAACGACTTCTAAAAGTACACCTACGAACTAGACTCGGAGATAGACTTGGAGATAGCACAAAAAGCAACCTTGAGTGTAACTTTAAAAATCTAGTCTTTCATTTTGTATATGTAAGGTTTACATAGTGTTAGGTAAAAATATGAACAATGCCACAACGGTGCTCAACATGCTTTTTCTAGGATTCATTGTTTTCTATTTGTATTATAATACACGTGCCTACTGTATACTTAACAGTCCTCTAGAGATTGCTTTTCACAATTGCACAAGCTATTACTGACTTTACAGCATAGTAGAAGATTAGCTGATGACCCATGTATCTGATGTTCAACCATAGTGGTGCCTTGAGACATTAAACTGTTTTTAACTGTACCAGAAATGAAGTGTGGAACAGTTACCTAACCTATTTCACATGGGCGTTTTGTATACAACTATTTTGATCTACACTTGATGTCTGAGCAGTAAACAGAAATAGCTAAATGTGGCTCAGGAAGTATCTCTTGGTTTCTTATTCAGCAGCAGAGTTGGTGACTTTGACAACTGGACTGCAGAGAAACGTGTTGATCACCTTTTAATTTTTATTGGCTGTCTGCCAAATATAAATACAGATGCAAAATTCAGTAATGGGAGATCTATAACCCAACATGGGTCACTACTCGTGAAATGTGACTTTCTCCCACCAGTAATTGCAATTAGGTGATAATACCTAATTATGTTTCCTAATTAAAGATAAATTGCTACTTGATTAAAAATCCTGCCCTTCACCTTTGGGAACAAAGGTTAAGAGACACAGTTGGGTGAACTCTCAAATTTATTGGCATTTACACAAAGCCCCAACCAAGGAACTGAAGTTTTCATCATGTGAGAGCAGCACAGCCCACCATTTAAAAATATTTGTATATCTTTCTGCAAATATGACTCTGGATAGTGAAAATTGAAAAACATATGCCAACCCCGAGCAAGGGAACTCCTCAAAAAATCATGCAGCGGAACCTTGTCAGGTAGAGAAGCCGTGCATGAAAGAATTTTTTTAATGTCTTGTTTTGCGTGTGTGTTTTTTGTTTTTGTTTTTTAAGAACTAAATATTGCACATTAATAAATAAGAATTATACAGCAGTAATTATGTGATGTAGTTTTTTGTTTAATTGTACCTTGGCTTAAGAAAAGTCGATTTACATGGGGCTTTTAAAGCTTGATGCCAGGCAAGTTAAGAAAAGGCACACTCTGCCAACTTGCATTCAATTTTGTTCCATAAATTGTGGTTACGTTTCTTGACGGGGTGAGGGGAAATCACTTTTAAGGAAAAAATATTTTCCTGTCACACACTGACATAGCTGCATTTTGTCTTTATGATTTTTTAAATCTCTCTTGTTTTGATCTATCTGCTTTTAAGCTTGCAGCATACTGAATTTAGCATGCATAATAGAACTATGTATTTATCTGTCACTTGAGAGCCAGCTTTAATAAACATCTTTACTAAGCATTTGGAACCATGCCCCTGCTGTTACTTTTACCTTTAATAGCCATGCATGGTGCTACTTAGAATCATAAACATATCCAACACACACACACAAATGCAGAGATCAAGCTCACTATAGTAACCCATTGCCCATACTATCCAAAGGAACTTACCATGTTATGTGTGATAGGTGGCAAAACTAGCTATTACTAAATTTTGGCAGCCTAGAACATTCAACTTTTAGCTCTGGGACATGTAAAAACACCTAGCACCATATTTTTATTTATTCTGAAAGTCATAGTCTTGTAGAATGAAGAAAGAAGTTGATTTAGGAAGTAGATGTTTATTATCAGTATGCATGTCTTATAAAAATATTATTTGAGAATTTTTACATGGGTATTAATGGAAAATGTTTTAATGAGAAAATTTAATTAGCAGAAGTAAGAAAAAAGATAACAAACCTAGAACAACATGTTTATGTGTTTCTAGGGATTAGCTAGAAAAACTATAAAAAAAAGAAAATATATATTTAAAGTTTTCATAAATTTAGTAACAAATGGAATAATTTCCAAGGATATTTTAATAATCAAACAACACTTCAGCCTTCTAAGGCTTCCACTATTGAACTGTATTTACTGATAGTGACCTTTTCTTACCTACACGCGGATCTACTTTCGTCTTTTGCTGCCTCTTTTCGGTATTGCATTTATACCAAGTAAAGATACTAAAGTGAAATAAAATCAAAGTAAAAATTAAATCCATTCACGTTCAGTCTTGAATCCTGAGTCATATACCAATAGACTGAGACTCTACAGAGCTTTTTGAGTACCAAAACTTTTAAATTATTAAGGACATTTTAAAAAGAGATGTGTAGCAATCTCAGAAATTGAGGTTAAAAAAAAAGATTTAAAAAATTACTAAGCACAGATTCTAAAGAAAGCTTAACAAATGTGATGTCTTAATTGCAGTGATGCTTAAGTACTATAAACAATTATATTTCTACTGTTCAGTAATTACAGTACTTTCTTCCACACAGTGCAGAATTTGAACTAATTTGACATAATTTCAGTATCCTACATTTATAGAGTACTTCATTAGTAGTTTAAATGGAAAATTAAATAAACACTATGAATTTGTGCCTGATAATATACACTTAGACATAAATCTCATCACCACATGTCTATTTGTATTGTATAATCATAATTAGTTACCCCATTTTCTCCCCATGGTAGCTACTTATCATGTTACCTTATCTTTTAGCATAACTGAGATCACCGGCAAATTCTATTTAAAATGTTAAGAATTATTTCTTCTGCATCTGCCCTAAGAGTCAACCAGGTACAATTTTTTTTTTTTCTGTAGCATCAGATTTCACACAGGTAATGTCCTAAAACACTGCACCGCTGGCTGACAGTATAGGGAAAAAAGTGCAACATAGGCATTCAGATTTGAAGGAGGGATTCAATACATGGTAACTCACCACTGGGGTCCATAAGCAATTTTGTTACATTATTTGGCTGCCCCATGGGTCACCAACACAGCCCAATATAAAATATGAGAAAAACAGTGCTAATAAATCACTCTTAACTGTCCCTATAACTGATAATTCAGGAGGCCAACTGGATTATCTGACATTCAGCTAAGACCTCAGTACCCTGCCATTGCTTCTTATCTATCTGTCTTCACTCTGAACTGACCCTTATTTTAAATTTCAACTCATGGTTAGGCAGTTACAAGTAGGGTTATATTGGTTTTTTCCTCTGAGACTGTGACTTGGCTCACTATCCTATCTGGCCTGATTTCCTCGAGCTTTGTCCCTCAGAACCCAACTCTGGCCTGTTAGCCAGCCCTTACCTTTAAGAGAGCAAGAGAAACTCAATTAGTTCTGCAGCAGATAAACTGGCACTTTCCTCATTTATCCCCATTTAGACATTTAAACATATTTGTGTGCATAGAGTTGTAATTAGTGAGAATAAATATAGATAACAGAGTCAAGCTCAGAAACGTTTGGCTTGCTTCCATTTAAACTGGTCTACAACTGTCTTATTTGAACAACTAGGGAAGTTTAGATGTAGTATTTATAACTCACAAGTCACTTGTTGAAGAAACTAGAAAAATAGGTGGATATTTATAATGAAAAGAGAAGGTTAGGCAGATGGTGGAGAACAAGTGAAGGTTGCTGCAATGAAATCTTAAAATTAAAAACAGCAATTTAAACAGGCTTTAAAACTGCAGGGAGAGGATAGAAGCCTCTATGAAAGGAACTTCACCATAAAATTCTCATTAGGCTAGTACTCTTCTGTGTTGTGTAGAGCACTCAAAAGTTATGTTCAACATAACTCAGCGACGGTATTACATAAAAGGCTGGTTGGTTGGTTGGTTGGTTGGTTGGTTGGTTGGTTGGTTAGCTGGCTTCTTAAACATTCTAGCATTGAAATTACTCTCTGTCTGCCCCAGGGAGCATGATGAGACCTGGGAGGGGAGAAATGTTACTGTGAAACAAACTATAGTAGGCAACATGAGAAGAGAGAAAAATCACCACATCAGTTTAGAGAGACTGGAACATCCTTGATGGAAGAACAAACATCAGGGCAAATTTGGCTTGTAAGCATATTATCAATATATAAAAGCTGATATTCTGTAAATGAAAATATCTTGCAGGTACTTTATCCTAGAGAGAGATTCTGAAAAAATTTAATGAGAAACAAATTTGGAAAGTATTACTAATTTAATATGTATAAAATACTACTGATAATATTTTAATTTAGTGTGAGGTATCAATTATTTTACTTCAGTGAATATAAAACACATTTCACAGGTTTATTTATCTACCTCCAACATAAGCTTTCTTAAGGTCTTAAATTCCTTAATACCAATTGTACTGTCGGGCTTTTTAAGGACTTACATAACTGAGAAGGACCACTATAATTTATAATTGAGAATTACAGTAACAAAACCAATTGATAGATACTCCTTGCTCTAGTAAACTTTTTCACCCTATCCAGATCTTTGCTCAATTCTCATATTAATGATACTACCATTTTGAATATTTTCTATGTGAAAATAAATGTTCCATTCAATACTCACATTAACCTTAACAATTGAAGGTAAATATGGTTAATTTCACTATACAGATGATGAACCTCAGGCTTAGAGAGGATTTTTGACTTGCCCAAGGACTTAAAGCTAGCCAAATGCAAAGTTAAGATTGGAATTCAGGCTTGTCTGACTCCAGTTTTCCATCACAAACATCTATAAACACCCATCAAAACTCGAGTATCTGTATCAAATGGGATCTTTGGTAAGGATAACCTGGGAAATGGTTGTAAAGCCATAAATATGCTTGACTTCTAGCAATTCTTACCTCTCAAGAATCTAAGTTAAATATTAATTTCTAATAGCTGCCTGGATGCAATTTAAAGCATATGATTGAAACAGATAAGTTCAAATTAAATGGCAAAAGCAGTCAGTTCATTGCCAGGTGTTTTGATTTAAGCTACATTTTTAAAACCACGACACAGATTTGTCCCAATACAATTCCTAGCATTGGAATTTGTTTCTTTTGTCATTTCACTTTCTTTGGGGAAGGGAGACTGGAGTTCTGCATGTTTTGAACATATCCCCAGGAGAATGCTGGAGGAAGAACTGGTAGTTATGAATATTAAAACAAGAGGAAAAAAAGATTAGCTAATGGCCAGTTCTAGGAAGCATAATTTGAATATGGGCTCTAGAGACAACCATATTTTACAAACATATTTTGAAATGATGACTCCAAATTTATTATTTTTAAGAATCTTTATCCAGGTATCAAGACTGGCCATGAAGATGTTTCCCTTGATATGATGAGTTATTCTCCTATTCTCCTCCCTGGAATGGGAATTCCTCACAGGGTTTTGAAGATGACCAAAGAAGACTGTATACGTGAAATCATGCAAGTGGTTGCAACAAGTCATGCAGACATGAGGTGAATATGACAGGCGTGGGCTCCAGTCCCCTCTAGTGCACAGCTTTCAACAGAACCCCCTCGGCTTCTTCCGAGTTGATGTTGCCATTAAACATGATTAGGCCATTTGCTCCCAGTTTTCTGTCCCCGTCGGTTGCTTTGAACTCTACAAGCTGCAATGTAATCCCTTTTCACTTTTAACAGAAGTTCAGATCCCTTAGTTTAAAGCAAGCAGCTATGTTGTCTGAAATCAGTGGTCATAATCCCTTGGAGCTGCTGGGCCAAACTTATTCCTCAAGGTTTCCTAGGCTCTAGAGTTCTAAATTATTTCTTTCCTTTTATGATTGCTTTACTAGCTTCTCTTATCAGGACACTCTCATCTTGCCAGTCATTCACCACCTTTCATAAATCCTGAAGTGAAAGTGCTTGTGTCTTCAGCATTTAAAGAAAGCTGACACATACACCTGAGCCCCTGCACTTTAGGATCTCCCAGCTGTATTTGGATGCAGTTGAGGTAGCCACTTCTGAATTGGGGTGTCACTCTAGCCTTGCCTTTTAGAAAGCTCACCTTGGCAGCCTGTGGAATCAGGGCAACACTTCAGCCAAGCCACAGTGCTTTGTAGAATAAAATTTTAAAACAGTGTCAGAGTTTTCCATTTACCATATAGACTTATTTGCTTTGAATACATCATTTTATCTGGATATTCCAGTTGACTTCAGCCAAACCACACTAGAAAAGATCTGTACTTAAAAACAGTTACTCTTGACTGCAACAAAATGTATAAGATGAGACAAAGAGCAATGGCCAGATCAGGAAAGAACTCTTCACTATTACTCTTCAAGCTTGATAACCATGAAATTACTATAAAATTATCTTTGAAAAATTATAATGTTTTTGAATTTGAGGAGCAACATGTTGAACTTCAAATACACTAGAAACCTCGGAGGATCTGTCATTTACATAACCAAATGGTCTCCAAAATGAATAGATTTTATTTACTTCTGTCTCCTATAATTGGTCCACTATCCTATTCTCCATCATTATCACTACTGCCATGCTGCAATCTCATATTCTATTCCTAAGATGACTGCAATTAATCTTAATTGGTCTTCCTGGCTCTCACTTTTTCCAGTGCTACCTATTCTCCACACTTGTACCAGAATAATATTTCTGAAGTGTAAATCCAATTGTAACACTTCACACTTTCAGTGACCAGTTATTGCTCAGCAGTGGTTTTCACAAGTATTGTGTACAACTCCAAAATCCCAGTGGCTTAACACAATAAAAATCAATTCCTTGCTCATATGGCCACTGAACTGGGTGTTCACTGGGTGGCCTTACATACAATGACTCGGGGACTCAGACATGTTTCAGTAAGAGGTTCTTTGACTTTCTGGAGTCTTACAGCCTTCAGCATATTCAGCAGGCTGGTGATGAAGGAGAGCAGGTGAGGAAGATGCTGTAAGAATTTCCAGGAATAAACTTGGAAGTATCATGTATCACTTCTTGCATTCCATTGGCCAGAACTCAGTTACAGCCTCTGCCTAACTGCAAGGAATGCTAGGAAATGCTCTTTAGCTCTATGCCCACAAAGGACAGGGAATAAGCTTGGGGAGTTTCTGATCAGAAGAGAATTTACAAAATATGCCCAGCCATGTCTCACACTTGGAAGTACAATTCAGTGAGTTTGGGATGGAGCTGGAGCTGAGCTGAGTTTTTAAAGTTCTGTAGGTGATTCTCTTACAAACATCAATTTGAGAACCACTAATAAAATGCAGATTACTGCCTAGCACTCAAGACTGTATGCCAGCTTCTCTGGTTTTTGTCTCCCCTGTCCAGTGACTTCTAACCCTGCAGCCATGTTGAACTACTGACAGCTCTCCATTGCATCACTTGTACCACTCAACTCTGCTTTTGCTCAGTGTCTTCTGTTTGGAATCCCCCTTTCCACCATAACAACCAAGACTAGTTCAAGTATCATCTATTTTATTAAGTCTTTCTTCATCTTCCAAAATAAAATGTACTGCCCCTCTATTGTGTTCCTATATGACCTACCTTTTATCTATTATAGTATCTTTAGCATTTCTTCCACTGTGTGTTTATATATCTCTGTCTCCTATTAGATTATAAACACTTTGATCCTGCCTATAATGATGACTTGGTGTGGGAGGAGGAATTATACATTAATTATCTTTTATCACAGTTTCTGACTCAATAAAATTTGACTGAATAACTACATATTAAGTAAAATAGTGTATTTAGAGTTGACTCATTCAGGCTGGATGCAATGGCTCAAGCCTGTAATCCCAGCAATTTGGGAGGCCACGGCAGGCAGATCACTTAAGGTCAGGAGTTTGAGACCAGCCTGGCCAACGTGGTGAAACTCTGTCTCTACTAAAAATACAAAAATTAGCTGGGTGTAGTGGTGGGCAACTGTAATCCTAGATAGGAGGCTGAGGCAGGAGAATCACTTGAACCAGGGAGGCAGAGGTTGTAGTGAGCTGAGATCATGCTATTGCACTCCCGCCTGGGCAACAGAGCGAGACTCCAAAAAAAAAAAAAAAAAGAATTGACTCATTTATGTAGCACAATATTCTCAAATTATCTGATCCTCTCCATGATAGATGTTGTAAAGGAGTGAACTCTGCCAGTCAAATCCTTTCAGTTAAGAGGGAGGCAGTGTTATTTCTTACATTCAGTATGGGGAATGAGAGGTAAGAATGGCAAATTTTAAAAATCCAATTTAAAGAGAGTATCCCAGTTGAGCCAGAAAAATTTGAACAAAACTATCAAGTAAGGGAGACCCACAGTAGGGAGTGAGAGCAAACCAGGACAAAGTACGAGAGAGTTAAAGAGCAGCCAGTCAGGGGGGCAGCTGGAAGTCCCCTGCACTAATTTCTGAGACAAGAGTGCAATATCTTCACCTGACTCTTCAGTTCCTTCTTCTACTACAGCTTTTCATGGTGAATTGACTGTGATTGATGGGAAGGCAGTTATGTGATGACTGACTCTGTATCTTGAGATGCCAGTCTTTTAGAAGAAAGGAAATAGAATGTCCCCATTCTGTATGTTTTTCTACAGTTCATATCTCTGAGTGCAGACCCATAGCACTTAGTAAATTTACAGGCAGGACCAGACAGAATGAAATTGAGATGATGAAACAGGTTTGCATTTTACATGTTGCACTCTGAAAGCCACAATTGGATAATAAACACAAATCGGAAGCTCTAAAACTCAGATGAACTGTGATTATAGCTGTACTTTTATAACTGGTATCTCAGAACTCCCTAGAAGCTTATTTACATGTTAAAAACATCAATTATTCCTCCCATTTGAAATATATAGTTCTTGTAATCAATTGCTTTGTGCCAATGTTTAGAATTATTCATGAAAGAGTTATATTTTAATGGCATTTGATGAGAACCAGCAGCAGCATCCATTAATTTGATTAGTTGTGTACGGGCTGGAAGAAAAGCCTGGCACCTAGCCCTAAGCAAATCAATAGTGTGAGGTCTAAGTGTAAGTATCCATCCAAGCCAGCCTTGCCAGCCAGGATTCTACACAGAGTGACAACAGTGGAGGGAGGGCAAAACATTAGACAAGAAGTGTCTTATGGCCCCTCTTTCTGCCTGCTTGGCATTTTACCATCAGTCACCTCTTATCTAAAGGCAATGAGTGTAAGCTGTTTTTCTACTCCACCCTACTCCAGCCCCACACCCTGTTGTCCCTTCTGAAGGACAGAGTAGAGGGATTTTTGTGGGTTGTAGTTTTTTTTGTTTGTTTTGTTTTGGTTTTTTTGAGACCTAAGGACTTAAATATGTATCATCATCCAAGCCTGAAAACAAATAAATCTGGACATTGAAGAAAACTGGAGCAAGAGCCAGGGGCCCAGTTCCGCTGCAGAGTTCCTCTATTTGAAAGGGTTGAGGAGTAGCTTCTAAAGAAGGCAGAAGAGCCCCTGATGCAAGGGATCCAATATGGAGGGAAGTGTGGCAGCAGACACTGCTGGCGCTGGCAAGGTTTTGTCATTTGTTCCAGGGAAATCTGTCCAGTTTGAAGCAGGAAGCATTCCTGGGAGAAGCCAAAGGAGAGGCATACAGACATCCCAAGCTAGGACATCAACCAGTTTGCATTTTGTGATTGACCAGTCACTTGGCCTCCAATCAAATGGTCTCGGGTTTTGGGCAGGGTTCCAGTAGAAAATGGACTGCAGACAAGAGACCAGGCTGTATTCTAGTCCCAACCACCAGACACACCATATGGGGAAAAGTAACACCTCAGTGCCCACCCCACCCCCACACAGGAGGGGCTGGCTCCTGAGAACAAACCTAACTGCTGGGGGCAGGCTGCTGGGACACCGCTGGATTTTGGTAGGAGTCAGTGACTGAACAAAACCAAATCCACAGACCTAAGGATACTCCTGCACAAAAAAAACAACTGAAATAATGCCAAATAATAATGCTTTGCTAAGGCAGGAAAGATTGCATTTGTTTTTATAACAGTCTACCTTCAAAAAAAGGAAGTCCTTTTTATAGCTATAATTAAATCATTATTTGTGTCATTATGTGTTTTAAGTGTATATTTCCCTCTAGTTATTTGTATGGCTCAATCCTATATATCTAGTACCTCTCTCAGGATATATGATAAATATTTGTGAGGATGGATATGTTAATTAGCTTGATTTAATTATTCCACATTTGTATTACAAAATCATAGCATCATTTTGTATCCTATGAATACGTACAACTATAACTTGTCTATTTACAATACACTTTTTTTATAACAAGGATATGCTGAGATGGGAGAGGTGAGCAGGGTTCAGATCATGCTTGGGCCTCATTGACCATGTTGAGGACTTTGCACTTTTTTCTGAAGATAGTGGGAAACCACTAAAGAATTTTAAGCAGAAAATGGCATTATTAGGTGTAGCATACTTAAAAAAATACTCTGATCAAGAAAAGATTTCAAGGCACCATCAATACAATAAAATAATTAAATCAATTTTGACTTTGGTGTGTCAAGATTCCTTCTCCACAACTGGATGAAATTACTCACCACCTGCTTGTGGGAGGATGGTACATCAAACTGGCTCCAGGGATTCTTTGTCCATATACTCGCTCTATGCAGCAGGGTCATGGTGACAGATAATGGTTGGGCCACCCAGCTGAAGGACCTCAGAAAAGGCTCTTGTAACTCAAGTCTTTATGAGGACAAAAAGGATTACCTGCAAAGATTTCATTTCATATAATAAAGTGAAATATGTAGTGTTCTTCAAAAAGTTAACCTAAGCCTAGACATAGGGAAGAAATAGGCAGCTATATCTGGGTTTTTATGTACAAATAATATACAAAAGTAGAAAGGTACTCATACTTTCCCAGTTCTAGCTCCTTAAATCAAAACAAAACAAAAGAAAAACTTCAGTTCTGCGAAGAGTTCTCACAAAACAGCAAGAATACCAATACAAACCCTCTTAATCACTTGTGGTCGACATGGAGGTGTGCTGCCCCAGATCTCTTACAAAGTGTTTTCCGTTCAGCAGCAGGCGATATACTCAGTGAACAGCTTCCAGGTGTCAGCTCCTTTAGGATCTACCTCAGCTGTAGAGAGCCACCTTGCCCAGGGACACAGTCTCCCTGGAGCAACACACATCCTGTCATGGAGCTATGACATAAGGCCAGAAGAGCCACTGGATGATTAAGCTCCACGGGAAGGCCCCGGAGATGAACATTGACCAAAAACAAATAAATGTATTGGTAAGAGGGGCAATGGCATCACCTAAACGTAGACAACCACACACTCAACCCAATAGTAGCTCCAATCACAGCTGCTGTGCCAGATGCAGTGTTTTGTTAGAGCAGTGGTAGCTCCAGCAACCACCAGAGCTATAGTGGGCCACAGCTGATGGTGAGAAAGGTTGTTATTTACTTGACTTATAACAGTGGAGTTGATAACACCCCAAAACAATTGAGGCCATGTGGTGGTGCTTAAATAATGGAATCCAGGGTATAATGATTAATTGTGATTCCTGGCAAGGTTAGAGTGTCTTCCAACGGGTCAGATCTATAGAAAATATAGGAGATGTGTCTTTACAGGCAAAGTAAATGGGCAGTCGACTGGGGTGATACTCAGCCTGCTACAGCAAAAGAAATTACGTACAGAGGATCAGCAGACTAAGCATAATCACCCTAATAAGTCATTACCCTTGTTCAGTTTCTAGACCTGAGCCAATTTAAGACCTGAAGCCCATTGATAAAGGAGAGAACTGGGTCCTTGGGAAGAAAGATCCTAAAACACCATAGCATGTACTATGGCAACGATTCTACCAAACTTTCACATTTTACACACTTACCTGACTAAATGGCTACAGATCCATTTGGAGGAAAGTTTGGGAAGTATAAAGACATAGTGCCTGCATTGGATGAGAGCCTTCTCTCTGTGCCATAACATGGCAGAGGTCATTACATGGTGAGAGGGCAAGAGTGTGTCAGCTCGAGTCTCTCTTCCTCTTCCTATAAAGCCATCAGGGTTCCATCATGGGGCCCTACCTTGATGACCTTGTCTAATCCTAATAACCTCCAAAGGCCACACCTCCAATCAACATATGAATTTCAGGATTACGTTTCAACATACTAAATTTGGGGATGTGTTCAAACTACAGCAGTGTCATAATAGTCTGTTGTTATATTGAGGAGCACTCAGGAACCAAGTTATAAATGGAGTCCTGGCCAAAATCCAGCTTGTAGTAAGTTCACTGGATCCATGGACCTGCCCTGTAGTCATTTCTCCCTTTCCTGAATGTATAGTTGAGATTGATACACTTAACACCTGAAGTAAGCTCCACATTTTGTCCTTGGCCTATAGACTGAAAGCTATCATGGTGGAGAAGGCCAAGCAGAAGTCTCTAAAACCAATCATCTATGCTCAGCCAAGATAGCAAATTTTAAAATACTGCGCCAGATTGGGAAAGAGTGGAAATTAATGCCACTCTTGAAGACCTCTAGATCCCAAGGTAGTCATCCTTATCATATATCTGCTTATTTTACCAGTCTGACCTCTGGAAAAAGTGGGTGCGTCCTGAAGGTAGAATATTACCACAAATTCTACCAAATTATAGTTCCAACCACAGCTGCTGTGCCAAATTCAATATTTTTGCTAGAGCAGGTTAATATGTCCTCAGGTACAACATATGCAGTGATTAATTCATCAGATAAATTCTTTTCTATCTTAATCAAAAAAGAGTATTGGAAACCATTGACATGTACATAAATCAGGCAAAAATATACATGTATAGTTTTACGCAAGAATAACTTTCCTACTGCAGGCACAACATAGTCCAAAGAAATCTGGACCATGTAGATATCCTAGGGAACTTCACATTGATCAATTTCATCAATGATACTATAGTTACAGGGGCAAATAAGCAAGAGATAGCTGGCATGCAGGAGGTCTTGGTAATAGATACGTGCCCAACAGGGTAGCATATGGGCCCTGAGAAAATTGTGGGGCCTGAAACATTTATAAAATTTCAGGGGCCCCTGTGGTCAGAAACATGCTGACATCCCTTCCAAATTAGTGTACCTTGCAGTTCCCACCACTAAAACATAAAATAAAAAGAAGCATAATGTCTAACGAGTTACTGTATTAGTTCATTTTCATGCTGCTGATAAAGACATACCAAAAACTGGGCAATTTACAAAAGAAAGAGGTTTAATGGACTCACAGTTCCACGTGGCTAGGGAGGCCTCACAATCATGGCAGAAGGTGAAAGGCACATCTCACATGGTGGCAGACAAGAGAAGAGAACTTGTGAGGGAAACTCTCCTTTTTAAAAACATCAGATCTCATGAGACTTGTTCACTATCACGGGAACAGCACCGGAAAGACCTGCCTCCATGATTCAATTACCTCCCACCGGGTCCCTCCCACAGCACATGGGAATTCAAGATGAGATTTGGGTGGGGACATAGCCAAATCATATCACCTACATTACACACAAAAAAATATTCTCCATTTGATATACTGGGCAAAGGGAAAGGCTTCCAGGTTTTAGTGGGGTTGTTAAGTCTAGAACAGAAGAGGACTCTACAGCAAGTCCAAGATGCAGAGCCAAGCAACTCTGCCACCACTTGGGCCATGGACAGGTAAACCCAATGGTGTTAGAGGTATCAGTGGTGAGAAAAGAGGCCAGGTGGAGCCTGTGTCATGCCCCAGTGGGAGATCACAACACTGGTGTCTGGGTTTCTGAAGCAAGGCCATACAATCTATAGCAGGTAATTACATGTTTTCTGAAAAACAACTTCTGACATAGTACTGGCCCCTGCTAGAGATGGGGTACTTACCATGGCACAACACATGACCATACAATTCAATTGCTCATCCTGGGTTGGGTCCTATCTGTCTAGTCATAAGGTTGGGTAGGACCAGCAATAGTTCATCATAAGATGGAAATGGTACATCCAGCATGAATCGCAAGCAGGACCAGAGAAGACAAGTAAGCTCCATAAGCTTACTTGTCCCAAGTCGAGGCACCCAGAGCTTCCCCCTTTATTATAATAGCATTCCTTTTTTAACTCACACCTCCGGACATATGCTGGACACCAACTGATCAACTACTAGAAAGGAAAAAAATTAACCTTGGTTTATGGATGTCTTGGCTTGGTATGCAGCCATCAACAGAAAATGGACAGCAACCTTAGCATGTTCAGGGATGGCATTGAAAAACATTGAAAAGGGATATTCTTCCCAATGATCAATGCTTTGGTTTGTTTACCTGGTCATATCCTTTGTGTGGAGAGAAAAGTAACCCAAAGTTGGAATATATATGAATTTACGGACTGTGACAAGTGGCCTAGTTGGCTGGTCAGGGGTCATGGAAGAGTATGGATGGACATAAGTGAGTGATTACAAAATATGAAGATCTTTACAACACATGTTAATGCCTGCAAGAAAACATTCACTACAAAGAGGAAGTAAACAACCAGCAGACAAAATGACCCAGCAGTGGATATCAATATCTGTCATCAGAAAATGCTAAGGCTGAGTCATAAGAGCAAAAAATTAACTTGGAACAAACTACAATCGGCAAGCTAGACTGTCAGCCCCTACATGAAGAAACCAGAGCAGCCCACTAAAGACGTATTATGTTGTGCAAGATGTTTTGTCTGTCACAATCCAGAGAGATTTTGCAGCAAAATCGGTTAATTTGTGCTCGTTAAGACAGCAAAAACAATCTGTCAACCTGATCCTCTCCACTATCTTTCTGGAAGCCTTGGGGCTGTCCAGAAGCTATGGGGAGACCTGCCTGCTTGACAGCTGGTTAGAGTACTTCCATGAGATGCTGCCATGAATAGGAATTTTTAAATAAGTGCTGTGAGGTTTTTTCTCATTCTACGTAGGTATTCAAAGACCATCTGAGGATATTCGAATGATTTTTAAAAGCTTACATTAATTAAGGAATATTGGATCAGATGCCCTCTTGCATCCAAAAAGCATGTTTATTCTATCATCTTGGGACCAAAAAGGAAAATACAGAAGATTAGCAAAGGAGAAAAGATAGCAAATCCACAGATGCAGTCCTACTTTTATTGTACTGTCAATAATTACCTTTATTGCACAGATGCAGAAATATCTGATAATCCATGACAGACGGGAATTCATCTATTCTAGACTCATAAGGCCTGAAGTGGCAGTGGCTGTTCATTACTTGGTAACAAGAAAAGCTGTCTTCATCAGTATGTCTTCTGATGTGGTCAGTTTACGTTTGTCATCAGAAGAAAAGACAATAGGGGCTTCATGGGAGCCAGATCTGATACTGAATTGCAAAAATTCATGTCTCCATTGGCAGACAAGGGAGAGTCCACCAGAGCATGCTTTCTGAGGTTTTCTTCTCCAAGTACTGGTAGGTTTTGGAAATTCTATATTGTTTTGCAAAACAAACTTCCACACCAAATAGCAGTCACCACACTAAAACTGAGCAAAGACTGGCATACTTTGTCATTCTGAGAATCTGTAAACACAAATGCTTGTATACACACACACACACACCCCACACACATACACACATACACAGGGTGAAACATTTAGCACATGTAGTAAGGTGATGGTTAGGCTTTCCTGAGTATACAATGTTTTACTGGCAAAATAGTAACAAAGCAAATGTAATGAAAGTCCGTCATGTATTATCCCATGAAACATGGTTCCTTGATATGAGTATTGGCCACTTGG